TTTCGTATAATATTTTTCTACGCGCCGTTATCTTTAAATCCAATATTGAACTAACTTCTACCGAAATTATATCGAAAAAAAAAAATAATCTCGATGGTGAAAAAATCGATAGAAACGAAAAGACTCGTCCAAAGAATTTCACCGATCCGAAATCCTCTTTAAACCGTGCCAGAAACAACAAAAAATCCAAAATCCGGGTGATCCAAAAATAGGGAAATTCGGTGGCGATTCCGCAAAGAAGAGAACGAGTAAAGAGGAGCACTTTGACGAATCGCGGGGTGTCTAATTCCTTGGTTGAGTCGACATTAGGGGGGGACGGACGTGACAGCAATAAATCAGAAAACCGTGGCCGGCGATCGATCAACCGGCGCGCATCTATTATTGGCTGAAATAAAAGGAAGTCAACGTACACATACATACACACACACACACACACACACATATATATATATATAATATATACATACATACACGTACAAAAAAGGGGATGAGAGAGAGAGAGAGAGAGAGGGGAGGAGAGCGAGTCGTGTCTGGAAGTGCATTTCATCAACGGCCTAGGGAGAGACAGAGAGCAGAGTAAGTGGATGAGGATGGAGGGTGGGGAGCAGAGGGGCGGAGTGGAGAGCAGAGGGGCGAGAGGGGAGGGTGAGAATCAATAATGTCGAATGAACGCTCTGCACGCTCTCACGAGTCTGTTGATTCTAGCCTTTCAAAGGGCGACGTAAGGTCCTTTTTTCCTATTGTTATTCGCCTATCCGATCGTTTCGAGCCAACGCGTTATACTTGTCGATAACATTCTTACAGGGGGCAAGCCCCTTGTCTGATGTTAAATAGTTCACGATAAGGATGCGAGTATGGGTATCGAGGAGGATCTTGCAGGAGGAGGGAGGCAGATCTGCAGTAACAGTTTGATTTTGAGATATTTATTTATTTTTCTTCAATTTATTCGATTGATTTTCCATTTTTAATGTTGTGACGAAAATATTAATGGTAGCTCATCGATTTGTTGTTGTTGTATGATTAATCAAAAATATTGATTTCTTAGCCAGATAAGACCTTAAGAGGGAGGGAGGGGTGTATTTCGCATCCTCGTTGCACGAAGCTTAAAAAATATAATTGCTTATCGTTCGCTTGCATCGTACTTTAAGAACGAATTCACGAATGAGTAATTAAAATAATAATAAAAATTGCGTATTTATGTAAAAAATAAAACATAATTTTCTCTCTCCCTTTCTCTTTTTTATCCCCTTTTTTGTACGTGTATGTATATATCTAAAAAAATTTTGAAATTTTATCAAAATCAATATATCAAATTTTATAATTTGACATTATTGAAATTATTGTCAATATTTCTGCAGTGTAAGAATAATATATTTCCTTTGGAAATCGTGATTTTCGGAACAACATTTGGTTGATTGTTCGAGAATCCAGAGAGAAGGAAGGTTCACGTCTCGATTCGAGCATCTGCAACGAAAAACGCGATGCGAGGCGCGTTTGCGCAACACGAGAACCCGCAGTGGGTGTCGAGCGACTGTGATAATGAAGCTGGCAATTAGCGTATCCGCCAACGCGGATTCGGACCTCTTGATGACTCTGGAAAATCTGGCCGCGCTCACATTTCGCAAAAATTTGAAGGTAGCGATTTTTTTTTTTCTTTTTTACCTATTTTTAAAATTCGCTCCGTAGAAACTGTCGTAGTTACTCCGACGAATAGAATTCTTTCCTGAAAATCCTTCCAATATTTATATAACCATGTTAAAACTCTGAATTTGTTTTTCGATGTTGACAAATGTTTTTCGACTTGATTCTTTTATCGAATCGCAATTTTGTGTATCTTACGTAACCACGAGATGAAGCAGGATCTAATTTCGTAACATTATTGTTCGATTATTCTGTTGCGAATATATTATTATTTCTTCGTGTCTTGTTCGAGTCGAAGAGAAATTCTTCGATTCGAAGAAAGTCGTGAATGATGGGATATCGATAATCTCGTTGAAGAAATGAACGATTATATCGATTGCATTTATCCTTCATTAATGGGCAACAATGTATTTATTATTGAAATATTATTATTGATTTTCTGGTACACGTGTATCTCTTGTTAGTAAATTCCACGTTTGGAATAGTTGTTATCGTCGATCAGTCAATGATAGACTAGAAATTTAGAGCTTTTCATTCAAAAATAATGTTTATATTGTACAAGGATATGAGAGTGATCTTCTCGTTATTTAATTTAAGAAAAACTCTTGTGATTTATTATATATGAATATTTATAACGAAAAAAGACTATCGAGAGGAACTTGCTTTCAAATATTCAAATCGTTGCATAGCGATAAATTTGTGCTAATTCTGTTTTTTAATAATTCCTTATCATGTATGGAAAAAGGATGAAGAGAGAGAGAGAGAGAGAGAAAGAGAGGAAAAGTTATTCGAATATTACAAAGGGCGAAATGCAATTCAAAAAAAAAAAAAAGATTGAAAAACACTGGAGAAACTTACTCGACCTCTATTCATTCTGAAACGAAATTTTAGTTAACGACCTACTGAACTTTTGCCAATTAAAATCCATTTATAATGTGAACTTTTATTATTCGAGAAATGGTGAAAATTTCTATTGATAAGATTTTATTTAAACCTTGCCCGATCTTGAAACATATAAAAAGTTTTCATTTTCTCACGAAAAAGTTGAGGTTAATTAAAATTGATAAAAGAGAAAATCAAACGAATACCGAATTACGATCATCATTTGTCCAATTACACGAATAATAAAATTTTAAACAAATAAAGCAAGTACTTTCTAAAAGGATTTCTATCCAAGTTTCAAGGTTATTTTGCAAAATAATCCACAGGGCATTTAATAATCGTGTATAAACCAATTATTATACGCTTCTGCTTTATTTAAGATTCTCGATGACGTGGTCAATTAAATAGACGTAAATAGATGGAAAACTGGAATCTGACGGAGGCGTGAAAAGGAGCCCTTACAATCATGCATTACGTGACCGCGAAGAAAATGTAGCTCGTTTATTCGTGTGTTATGAAGTCATAGCAAAAGGAAGCCGTTTAATCGATGCCACGTCGTTCTTACATATTTTCGACCTGAATTCTGATCTTGCAAGGTCGCGTATAATTTCGAACGAAAGGTTACGAATAAATTAAACCGAGTTATCTTCTATATATATATATATATATATATATATATATATAGAAATTCATACAAACTTCATACAAATTTTCGAACGAACAAATAAGACAGATCTTTCTCTTCAATTCCAAATAACAAATATTCTCTCAGCATACGATATATCGTACACGTTAACACACCTTTTAATCTTAACACGTTTGAAGATTTAAACGTAACAAGAGGACGCATTATGGAAATTTCGATAAGAACGTTGAACGATGGTCGCTTTACTTTTCATAAATTCCACGGCTGAAACACGGCGTGGCGGTAGTAGTAGTGGTGGTGGTGGTAGTGGTGGGGGGCACACGTGTTACGTAACAGTTCGCGCCATGTTAAAGACCCGGCCGTTAGAATCGATAACGGAATTCAATTAACAGCTGTGTGAATTTTTTCGCGACGAGGTGATCAACGTAAGCGGTCGTTAAAAACAAAAGACGTGATTACGTAACGATGAATGTAAAAATATATATATACACAAGGATTATCCATCGTATGAATCGAACAATTTTCGTAACATTGGTTATAAATAAACGAAGCGAGAAATGTTCAAGACCTTTATAAACGCATGATTTTTACATGCTATGTGAGTCAACTTGTGGAATGCATTCAACATGTACCTCCATTTTCCAGTTTGAGCAAAGTTTAACTTTTCTTCTTGAAAGTATTACAGTATTCTTTTCTCGAAATTGCTAGCCCATCGCTTCGAAACAGGTGGCAATCTTCGAATATAAAAAGCGAAATAGAATTCGAAATAGAATTCAACAGAATCCCAATCATATAATTATTCAAAAATATTTCTGAATAACGGTGTTCGAGAGCAAGCAATATTTTTTCCAGAACACCATTTTTCTCAAAAAATTGTTAAATAAAAAATAAAACAACATTACGCAAGAGCCTCGTCCATGAATCACGCAAAGAGGCTCTTCATTCGAAGGGAAATCGGAACGCAGCTCCGATCCGAAATCCTCGTGTCCCCGTTTGTTATAACGCGAGAGATCAGGCGGAGGCACGAGAGAAAAAGCGGTTCCAAAAAGAAAGGAAAAAAAGAAAACCCCGCCAGACGCTTTGTTCGTAAAAGGAACGTGACCCAAATGGGGACGAGAGGGAGAAAGAGGAATCATTTCCTCCCCTTTTGCTTCGATCCACCCAAAGATCCGCAGTAGAATCAACGATCGGCCTGGCGGGTGTGTCGCTGAAACGCGTGTATTTGTGTGTATATACATATACATATACACACACATATATATATATATATGTATATACATAATATATACACATGTGCACACGTGTGCGTGCGACGCATGGCCAGAATCCATCGTGCACGATCGCTAAACGAGGAAAATCATTAAATGGAGGAGAGGGCGGGGGAGGAGAAGGAAGGAGGGGGAGACGTTGTCCAAACGATATTTCTCTGACAGTCCTCGAGTCCCATGGGGAGAGCTGCCTCGTGTTCTCGTCGCAGTTCGTACAAGTGCCGCAATTTCTCTATAGCACACAACCGATCGGCCAATCGGCGGGTGTGTCACCCCCGTGGCTCGACGCATGGCCAGACTCCAGGATACACGATCTCTCTCGCAGGGGTAAGAAAGTCCTCTCTCTCTCTCTCTCTCTCTTCGTCCGTGGATGATACGACATGAGATTAGAATCCATGGAATCCGGGCGTGTTAAATGTAGGGCGTGGCACACGGGGATGTAAATAATACACAATTGGAACACGTGGAATTTTTTATCAGGCCGATTTTCGACGAAATTTCCTTTTCCAGCGAAAAACTGTTCAAAGGAGGGGGGGGCGATAATCGAACGATCGTTTACTCACCATGATAATAGAGAGCACCGGAGGCGTTGAGCGGCGGTGGGCTAGGCGCGGTTGCACCAGCGGTGGGGCTATGGGGGCCCCAACAAGTCTGCTGATGATCGACTGTCTGCCTGCTATCCGTGTCCCCGACCACGTCGATCTCCTCGTCCTCCACGGGCTCGTGCCTGTGCTGCCTCTTCTCCAGCGAAGCGGTGGTCTGCTGCACGCCATGGCTCTCCTGCAGCACCCCCGAAGGATCGTTCTCCTCCTCCTGCGGATCGTCCACGCGATCCGGCCACGGGTAGGCCTTCCATTTCTTGGCCATGAGGCAGCGCGGCATGTTGGCGCGGTGGTTGTTCCCCGTTGCAGCAGCCGTCGCGGCCCAGGTCTCGCCAGGTGGCCGGCCGGTTGGCGGGTAAGCTCTCCCTTCCACGAGAAACCTCCGACGTTGACACCACTGTTATTTATACCAACACACCCCTCACCAAAACACCCGCACCAAACGCACCACCGTACCGAGGACGACCGACGCGGTGGACCTCGACCGGCCTACAGCCCGCCACCGGCACCCGTATCGCGTTCCTCGTCACACCAGCCGCCGACCACGGCGATGCGGTCGTCGATGTTGCGACGCCGTCGCCTCCGTCGCCGCCTTCCGTCACTCAGCCCCTTCCGTATCTGTAACCTGTCGTTAACCTCTCCCCGGATGATCGAGGTTCCCGTCGTCGTGGACGGTGCCCGCTGCCTCTTCCTCTTCGTCCTTCCTTGCTCACGTTGGGGCGTGATCTGCAGCCTCGTCATCGGCACGGCGAGGGCAGCTCCTTCGTAGGATGCACCGCCACCATGCCACCAGCCTGCTCGCACGACAACCCTCCTCCACTTTCCCGGCCCTCACCCCTTTCTCCCGTTTCTTCTACTACTAGACAACTACTATTCCTACTGTACTGTACTTGATTCCTAATACCGATTATTCCTTCCTTCCTTCTTCTTACTCCTCTTCCTTCTCCTCCAACGTGTTACTCTCTTCTTGCGCTCTTCGTTTCACCTTATACACTAGCTTGCCTCCAGCCTCGTGCCTCTCTTCGACGTTTGTATAAATACATATACATGCACGTCTCTATATCTCTGCTGCGCGCGTGTGTATATATATATATAGTGTGTGTGTGTGTATGTATATGTATATTCGTTCAACCCTTCCTCGGCGCGGGTGCACTTCTTTTCCTCGCACGACGACTACTGCTAACTTTCGAGGTGGCTGGCTAAACTGAGTGGACCGACTGACTGACTGACTGACTGACTGACCATCCGTCCGTCCGTCCGTCCGTCCGTCCGTCCGATACTCTATCGGTCGCTCCCTGTCGCGGCTCTCGCCAGTGACAGGGGGTGCCCTCGAATACGATCACAACGACGGGGTGCGACTGTTTGGTCGGTGGCGCTGCCGCTTATCCCCTACCCCTCCGTTGCTTTCCCTCCTCCTCGTGCAACGGCCAACGGTTTCCACCTCCTACACTAGCAACTGGGAACCCCCGTCGCCCCTCCGTTGCGGCTCCCCTTGAGTCAGCATCGCGGGGCGGCGCTGCCGTCGCCGCCGCCACCACCACCACCACCGCCACCGCCACCGCCGCTGCTGCTGACGGTTTATGCTGAACCAAGGGATGGCTGCGCAACCCCTCGAGGGTGCTAGTTCTCGATTTCTGCAGGCCTTTTGATTGTGTGCGCGCGCGCGCGCCCCTGTGTGTTCGCGCAGCACGTAGCCATTGGCGTAGGCCACGATCGAGACTCGACTCGAATTCTCTTTTCACGGTTTGGAATTGGATCGCGATTGTTCGCACGGGGAGTGGATCGTTTTGAAGAGGGAGGAGGGGAGGGGTGAAGATTGCAAGTTGAGAGAGTGGTTGGGCGGTTAAGATTCGAGGGGCGATATTTTTTCGTGCCCCCGTTCGGCTGCGTCATTGCGACGAATGAGGGTGCACACGACTGTCTCCTTCTTTCTCCTCCTTTTCCGCCCGTGCACGCTTTGTGCAAACTCGGATTTACGAGACAGTCTGCCGGATATTCGTATATATTACAACGGCAATATTGGTTCGTTCCAAATTGCACATGCTAATCCGGATTCGAAACGAACGGTTTCTTCCTTTTTCTCCCTGTCCGTATTTGTCCACGATCTTTCGATCTATCTACGAGGAGCAACTCGTGATATAGCCTGGGGAGAAGGTAATAGAGGGGAAGGACGTATCAAATTGATTCGAGTTCGATCGATCGAGACTTAATTTCCTGTGCGGGCAAAACCTGTAAATCCAACGAAACGGAAGCTCGTACGCCCATCATCGTGTGTCACGGTGGAGGTTAGTGAACCCACGGGTAGCTCACGAACGAGAAAGAAAGAAAGAAAGAGAGAGAGAGAGAAAGAGGGGGAGAGGAAAGGAACTATACCGAACCACCGAAACCGTCCTCGTGTGCAAGTGGTCGGTGGTCGTCGAGGCCGCACCGTGCGTCGAATGTAGACATCGTGGGAGAGCGAGAGAGAGGGAGCGGAAGAGAGAACAGCTGGCCGGGCTGCCACGGGCACCGGCCTCATTCCTCGCGTCACGACGAGTGTGTAAACTCCCAAGGGGGAGGCACGATGGTAATTCCTATGGAAGATTGGCTGTGCACAGTGGTGACGCTATGTCGCCCGATACGCGACGCGAACTTGTTGGTAGCAGGTTGATGGTGTTGGTGCAGCCTCTGGAAAGGGGGGTGCAGAAGAGGAGGAGGGTGGCGCACACGTTCGGGGCGAGAGATGCCGAGGGAAGGGCCAGAGCTCCTCTATGTCTCTTCCCTGTCGTGCAAAAAAAGGGAAGGGAGGGGAGGGGGGAGTGGAGGAGAGGCGGAGGAGCCAGGAGAGACGAGGCTCGAGTGGTGGGGGGCGAAGGTCCGCCGCGGCGGTGGTGGGGAGCGGCGAGGAGTGGTGGGGAGGCCGCGCATGCGCCGCGGATCGGCATCGACCCGACGTCTAGGCAACACCTGGTAGCGCCCCACGTGCCACGTTAGGGTGGCACCAGCCACCCCGCTCACGCGATCCCTCGTATCGAATATCACGCTGGCCTTCCTGTCCCGTCTACTGACCCACGCCAACCATGTCTTTCAACGGTGTTTCGCTGTTCGGGCCTCTCGAGTTCTCTCTCTCTCTCTCTCTCTTTCTCTTGTAAATGGGATGCGAACGAATCGAAACCAGGTTCCTGGTTTCGATGACGGCGCCTCTCCTTAATTACAACCGGTTTCAACTTTTTGTGTAGAAAAGGAAATTGATAGCCACCGGTTTTTCCTTTATTATCGATTCCACAGGTCCGATCAATAGCGAGGCACGCTTGTGTACAACGGGCGTCTCGTGGTAAGGATCCAGGTTTGTTTGCAAAGCGCATCAACCGCGATCCGTCGAGTTGGAACGCTAGGAGTTTCGTGAAATTTGTGAAGCAAACCGTAATAAATGGGTGTTATCGATCGTAAACAGTAGTTCTAGAACATATCAACTGTGATCTGTTAATTGTTTCGTTTCGTGTATATAATTATAATATAAATACGCTATTATTTATATTTATTTCAACGATGTAACGATTTCTTGGTCAGTTTAGAATAATTCGATTTTTTCGCTTTAGAGAAAGGAGAAGAAAAATCTGATTCCACGCCGTTTAAATGCATCGAATATAAGAGAGTCTAAAAATATAAAGTACATATAAAGTACGGTTCTCGTAATATATACAGAGCTATCTTAAGCGTCATCAGCAGTGTTCCTCGTTTCATTTGCGGCGCAGAGATTCGGAAACTGTCGACCACAATTCCCACTGAAACGAAGAAGTTCGAGGCGCCGATCACCCGCGACAATATCGAGATTGGTTCGTGTTTTGCGGACAGATGTTTCCAACGGAAACTCTCATCGTCGCCCGTGCCCTATTTACCGACTATTGTCGCTCCTCCACCGGCGCGCAAACTTTCTAAGTGGTGTCGCGTAATAACCGTGCCATATGACGAAACCGTGCCGCAACAGCTGATGCATCTCGATTTGCGGGATCGGTTATAGAATACCGTGTTCATCGAAAACTCGTCAGAGTAATAAAAATTGGAAGTTGATAAAACGGGAATGTTATAGATCCTGCAGATTCTTTATATCTCGTAAGACTCTTAATTTGTCACGTTAATTTAATTTATCTATCGATATTTCAGCAAACGTTGGACCTCGTGATCTAATTTATCATTTTTTTTTTTTATTTGATTTATTTCATTTTAACGATATAATATTGATAAATTTATCGGTGTATATTTCGTTATAATTCAACGATCAATTTTTAATTCGTCGAATTTAATGAAAAACTTAATAAATGGGGGATTAATTGATAATTGTATTTTTTATATTTTAGAGAAAAAATAAAATTCTTTCTCTCGAATCGTATATCGCAGAATATTCGTAATAAAATCGATTGTTATCAAAATAAGGAATATTCAGGTTTATTAATAGGTTTATTAATACCCATATATTTTATTCCTTGCCCGTTTATTATGCATGAGATTTTATTACACCGGAGGTAATGCAAACTAATCAGAAATAATGGAAATAATCTCGTTTCATTTTGATTTTGATCTGAATAACTTCACATGCAATTTTTCTCGCGTTAAAAAATACTTATATATAGAAACAATTCTCGAATTGATTATTAAAGAAAGTTGTATCCAACACAGCAGAAACAATTGGTAGAATTTCAATGCTGCTTATAGAACATTCTAGAGCAATCAACACAAGTGCTTCTATTCTTACACTACCCTATCAATCCCTTTCCATCGGTAAATAGAACAGTCAAGCCCTTGCTCACCCTCTCTCGCATCATACAATCCTAACTGCACGCTTCAAAACTTTTTTCCCTTCAAAACTCTCGAGAAAGGGAGGGGAGGGGCAAAACTCTCCTTCACAAATTTTCAAATTTCATTTTTCTCTCTTCTTCACTTTGTTAAACAATACAAATCTCATTCTATTACATACATACATTTTTTCAAATTATTCACTTCCTTTTTAAATCCAATTCTTACCACATCTATTATTTCATTCACCGATAATTACACGAAAACGTGGTCTAAAATTCTCCGATCGACCGTGTTAAATATTCCATTGTTTATCAATTTTCAGATAAGCTTTCAGAGTAACTTGACCATCCGACCTTTGAAGGTCACGTTACTAAATTTAAAACCCGAAACAAAATAATAATCGAAATAAAAAAAAAAAAAAAAAAAAAAAGGAATAATTTTGATCGTTTCACAATTCGAAAGGTAAAAGTATTTATATTGCATATTTCATGCGCGATCGTCGCGTATTAATTCCGATCCGCGAGTATCAGTGAGTTTGACGCGCTATCTCGCGGCGCATTCGTCTTTCCGCCGCT